GGGGGAAGAAGAAGAATGGTTGTTGGGGAAATACAAAACAGCACACAGGAGGGGGAGGCACTGGGGGAGGAAGACCTGACAAATCTAGCCAAAAAAAAGTTGTCCCCCTTACGGATCTATGAATCTTTTCCAAACGTCTGCATGCAATATTGTGAGTACAGAGGCGGGAGAAGCAGGTCAAAAGAATATGCCCACAAGGCGCTTCCGCGGGATGACAGAAGAAATTCACAATATATATCATGACAGTATTGAAAGTCTCTACATCACTACGTGGTTACCATTACCGCACAGGGAATATAAACCAAAAGCAATCCCAAGCACCATGGTATCATGGTTAGGCCTAGTGGTTAGGCTCTCGGACTCGCAACCGTAAGGTCGTGGGCTCGAATCCCGTCAAGGGCCCGACATTGTGTCCTTGGGAAAGGCACTTTACACGAATTTTCCTCACTTAACCCAGCTGAGAATGGGTACCGGCTATAGACAGCAAAAGATCTTGTCAGTTTGTTAGTGTTTGATCGCTTAAACGGCTGCTCGCACTGTATGCTTCCCGGGAAGCTGAGAATGTTTCGGAGTGTACTATGGTCTGCTGGGGTAATAATATAGTGTAAAGTGCATAGAACCTGCTGTTGAGCGGGGATATGCGCTATACAAATGCTATCTATTATTATTATTATTATCGTATTTTCAACCACTGTACAATGAAGAATTCAGAAGGACAGGAGTCACACAAAAAATAAAGATCCTTTCCCCAACCAAACTTTCTCCTCAGACCAGCTCCAGAACCAGTTAGTACAATATATATGTGAGGCGAGCTGACAAATTGAGTTACTTCTCGCAATCCACAAATGGAAAATATCAGCCAAAAAATCGACACATGGGGGTCAAATTGGTAGATTTTCTATTGATGCCATATTCTTTATGTATATAACCTGCCTTTTATTATTTCATACTTATAAATTTTGAAAACTTCCCCCATAAGCGTGATGTATTTATTTCTTTAATGAATCCAAGAAGTA